TGAAATTTTCATATAAAAGTCAAGTGATCGACATCAAAATTTTCATATGAATTACATTCTGAACCCCTGCAGGGGGACATGTCCTGTGACTGATAATTGCATGTGATATAGACCCCAAAAAAGGGGTTATCATTCAATCGGTTTATCGCAACGTGATCATATACGCAATGACTAATTAAAATTTTCAGCCTCCAAAAAAGATTCGCTCCATATTTAAATGTCTTCGACCGAACATTACCCTGGCTACGCTGGTGAGTTCCACTGATATTTTAGCTCTTTTCTCTTGCTCTATAGCTCTTCTCTCTTATTTCAACGAACGCGAACACGTAAACTGGTCGTACTACGAGTTTTTGACTCTTAACCGTGATGTCATTATATCTTTACCATCAATTATTAAAGATTGGAATGGTCTAGATAGCACATGGACTCGTAGATTTCTAATAAACGCAGAAATGATGCTTGAATCAAAAGACTTTGAAACTTTAAAGGTCAAGGTATTATTTTCTTTTATTTAACCAAGGGAGCTCCTATCAGCCAACGCCCTGACTTAGGAGTATCAGTCAACGTCCTGGCCCAAGTGATGGTAGTGGCACCTCTGGTCAGCCAACGCCCTGATTCAAGAGTATCAGTCAACGTCCTGAGCCTTACCATTGCGAATCTGTATTTTTTTATTTGAAATTCTATTTACTATTTACTATTAACCGGAGTCAGTTGTTTTATGATTAACTTTTTATTATTACCAAATTTAACATATATAATAGGTGGATTCTGAACGTTCAAAAGATGGATTGAAGGCCTATTGGGAAAACGTTATCCATGAACAGAAAAAAGTATGTCAAGCCTTATGTATCATTGTTTTTGCCTTATTAATCTTACTAAGATACTACCAACCTTGACCAATATGTAATAGTTGAAAGTGAAGCGCACCCACATTCTTGGGAGTCTTGATCTATTAGATGAAGCCGGCAAACATAATGTCAAAGATCTTTCCTCTGAAGGGCTTTCAAATTCTTTCCCTGTTGATATGTCATCTGCATCCAAGCATGCACTTGAGAGTACGAACTTAATTTCTCCTCAAGAGAATAAAAAGGTTAGTATAGAATGTAACTTGTATATAATACAAATTCATTGTCTTAACTTTTCCGACTTTGGATGTGTGTATAGATTAAAACTGGTGAAAATCAAGCGTCAGTTGAAGAAGGTACCACTCAAGAGGACATGTTGAACTCAGTTATAGAAACCTCCAATATCTTTAGAGAAGCTGAATTCCCAGGGTATTACGATAAACTCAAAAAAATATGGAGTACCCGTGAAGCAGGATCAAATTATTATGTAATTGATCTGAAAAATAAAGAAGTTTTAAAAGAGGTACATAATCTTTTAGATGATGAAAAATTAAAATCGTTATTTGATAGATTGACTTTGGAAGACGAAAACAAATATATAAGTATGAAGGCACTCGAATATATGACGTTATTTGATAAAATCATAGACGATTACTTAAGGGATGATGATGATGACGTAGTTGAGAAAAAATTTATCGAAACCAAAGACGAAGCCATTTCCAAGATGGAGAAAGTGGTCTATAGTTTGGACGGATTGACAAAAAGATTCAATTACCTATCCCACACTCTTCCTATTCCAACGGAACAATATGAAGGATTTTTATACCCTGATATTCATATTATTAGAAGCATTTCGAGTCACCTAAGTACAATTATAAGTATGGATGGAATTGTCAAAAATACAACCGAAAGGTCATGGACTGCGCATATATTAGCATATATGTTTTTTTATAACATTTAGTCATATTACCTCTCTAAGATATTTTTCGTGTGAACGTACAATTTCTACGAAAATGGATTCTCAAACCATAGATTATAGGCAGATGGGGTTGCGGAATTATTTGAAAGGCCAAAACAAATCCCCTTATTCGTACTTGAGGTCTGGTGAACCTAGTAATCCGGATCCTGATAAATTTAAAGATGATAGACAAAAGTTAATGAAAGGTGTATTTGCGCTAAATAAATTCATTATTAGAACTGGTCTGCCAACATATGAGGTTTGTAAAACTTTGGGAGTTTTTCTTGCTCAAGGATTTGGTAAGTTATTTCAAATGTTTTAAGTATGATGCATTCTTTATTTTTTTTAGCATTAACATATTATTTATTACAGAAGACAACCTTGAGATCGGACAAATAATTTACATTGGACCCGGTTTATATTTATTTTCACCCTTTACGGATCCAAATCTTATCATCCTGACTTCTCCCTTCAATTTGGAACATGTACCCAGATTAATTCGCACACTCCTTTGTTTGCGATATAATGTGCTTAACAAGATCAAAAGTTCGAAAAAAAGAGCCAACGATATATCATAAATCCAACATCGAAGTATACTACTGGATTTACACCTGATCGGCCGCAAATTGTGACGTTTTCCAAATTTCTGCCCAAGGAAGAGACATCTGGCAAGGTGGATAAAAATGAACAGGATAATGTGACTGGAGGAAGAGGAAGGGTCGCGGAAGAGGGAGAGGTCGTGGTTCATAGTTTTACATATATCACCTTTGAGCGAATCGAAAATTTTTTATATAAACAAATTGTTGTATTGTGCTATATTAAAAAATAAAATTTCGAAATGCCATTTCAGAATCGAATTTACTGTTTGCATCTTCCACGTAACATATTACATATACAATTGTTTTAAGTTTACTCAATAAGGCCCAATTCTCGAAGATGCTCTGGGATAACTATATATGGGTCTTCGTAATACCAAATATACCTTAAAACGATCCAATTTTCCTCGCACAATTCATTCTTGAGTTGATCTCGCTTTTGCTGTCTGATAAAATTATCAGGATCTCCTCTATGAAAGAATTCGATATATTTTGCATGGTGTTCTCCTTGTACTTCAATTGCGAAACCGTAATCATAGTAGGGAATATCAAGTTCTAATCCGTTTGAATGCTCTGGTGTTCTTAAGAAATCAGGCCAGCGATTTTCTGATGGAGGTCCAAGATATTTTGTTACAATTTCACAACAAAGTTTTTCACGCTTATTATTTTGACAAAATGGACACCAGGTGTTATTATTTTTAATATTTTTAAGCGTTGAATACCATTCATGTCCTTTTAGCACATTTCCATAATAAAGGTGAACGAATATTAACAAATATCTCAGAAAGACATTCACCATTCCTGCTATATGCAATTTGTTTAGCTTTTTCAAGAGTAAGATGTTTTGTGCCTGCACAATATGGACACCAACTATTATAATGTTTTATGCTTTTAAGACTAACATTTCATTCATGTCCTTTAGCACATTTTCATAATAAAGGTGAACGAATATTTCAGACACTCACCATTTTGCTATATGCAATTTTCTTAGCTTCTTCAAGAGTAAGATTTACTATGTATACAATCTGAACACCACGACTTACAGTGTTTTATGTTTCTAAATGAAGCAGTTCATTCATGATTTTTAACACATTTTCATCACAATGGTAATATGCTATTAATATAGCATTATCAAGAGTATAAGGTTTGTTTTTTGAACAATGTGAACACCATTTTCTAGCATTTTTAATTCTGTGGAAGGGGATTATCCATTCATGATTTTTAGCACATTTTCACAATAAAGATGCATTGCAATTAATATATCTGTCTGAAAGACATAAGCCATTTTGTTTTATAGCAATTTTATAAGCATCTTAGAATATTTGGTTTTCATTTTATACTTAATTAAAAATATTGTTACCATATTTTATGAGTCTTTGAGAGAGTTGGGGAGTGCTTAATAATGTTATAATAAGTTACTTGGCCAGGATAATTATAGTAAAGTTTATTAAGAATGATGGGTGGGAGAGTATAATATAATCAAATCTATATAATGCATCAAGCA